AATTTGTTTTATAATTTGCCAAGGATTAGTAATGATTAATAACCATCCTCTGACTTGATTCAAAAAAATTTTTATCAAACCATTTATGTATATTACTAGTAGATTTATATTGGATTTTTGGCAAATCCACAGCCATCAACGGATTTGATAACTCTTTATCCTTCTTTCTTCCCATTGTTCTGTAAGAATTCTCTAGTTAGAAAGTCTGGAATATTGTTATCATTACCTTTAATATACTCTATGTCAAATTCAAAAATACTTAAAAGCACTTGCCATCTAGCAAAAATTTGTTTAGAGGCAAGGTTTTGGACATCTTTCTGCAAAACGTCTTTTGCAGATTTACAATCAATACGAAGTAAAAATTTAGGACGGCTGGTTTTAGTGTTTAGGTTTTACGCTAGAGGCTATGCGTTCCAGAGTGCTCAGAAAGAGCCTTTAGTTTGGGGAAGGGCTCGGAATCGCCGCTGGTCTGGAATATGTTCGTTTCCCTTTTATCCTTCTTTCTTCATTGTTGCTGTAGAGAATTCTCTTAGTTAGAAAGTCTGGAAATATTTATTATCATTACCGTTGTAATATATTCTATGTTCAAAATTCAAAAATGACTCTAACAAAAGCAGCTTGGCCCATCGAGGGCAATAAATTTGTTTAAGGAGGCGAGAGGAGTTTTGGACATCTTTCTTGCAAAACATTCCTTTTTGAGATTTACAAATCAAATACGAAGTCAACAAACTTTGCTTGATTTAAAAAATCAGATTGAAATTTAATTTATACAGAAATACAATACTGTAAAATTTCAATGGTAGAATAATTTAATTGAGTTGAAGTCCAATGACCTGAAGTATATTGGATTATTCTTTCTTTACCATTAATTTTTTGTTTTAAAATACCTCCATAGCCAATATTAGAAGCATCAGTTTCAACAATTTTAAAAGCATTAGGATCAGGAATATATAAGTAAGGAATTTCTTTTACGAATGATTTGATCTTTTTTACAAGTTGAGTGTGCTGAATTGTCCAAGGACCAGCATTTTTACAAAGTCTATTATGTAAAGGTTTTATCATGCAATTTAAATTTGGATAAAAATCAATCACATAATTTAAACAACCAAGAAAACGTTGTAATTGGGGTTTATTAGAAATTTCATCAGGAAATTTTCCACCAAAAACAAGTGCTCTTTCTATAGGTTGAATCTTACCTTGTTCTATATAATGACCTAAAAATCTTATTTTAGTTTTAAACAAATCCATTTTGATTGGAATCTTACCTATGGTTCTATATGATGTCCCTAAAAATCTTATTTTAGATTTACTTAACAAAATCCATGCTTTAGCTTTACTTAATGGCTAAACCATTTTTTCTCCGATGACATACAAATGTTGTTTAAATGTTTAAAAAAATGATCTTCTAAGAGTTGTACTAAATAGTAAGCGCATCATGCAAAATAATAAACAATACAAAATTTATAACATGGGGTTAAAAATACATTCATAAGATCCTCTGAAATCAGAAGGAGCATTTTTAAATCCCAAAGGCATTAACCATTCCACTTCGTATTGAACGCAAAATGAACGGTAAATGCTAGTTTTATATCTGTCGTTAAGGGTCAATTTGAATCTGCCATAGCCAGATTTATATCAATTTACTAAAAAAATTATTTGCAAATTTATAGAGTTGCTTTAAATAGGTATCTTTTTTTTATTTGGAATAGGGTATCTAATCCATTTTTAAAGCTGTATTTATGGTTTATAATTTATTACTTAATCCTGGGAGTCACCTTTCGTTCTAAATTTCAGCGTTTTTATTCCATAAAAATCACCTGGCTGCACAAGACCATGGACTTCGAGATTTAGAAATTAATATATTTTTATTAAGTAAATGTCTTGAATTTCATTCTTTGACAATGGTTAAGTCCAATATTCAAGTGACTCATGGACTCATCTGAAATCAATTCAGGACTCATCTGAATTGGTCTAGCTTTAGTTTTAATGGTTTTTTCATCAAAATCTTCTTTTTCATATGGTAAATCTACTATGTGTTGTTTACGATCCCAAAAAACATGTGGATGATCAGCACATAGTTCCTTTTCCATATATTCTTTTAATGTTGTGATTTTATCTTGTATTTCTTTAGTCTCTAATTGTTGTTTAATTTTGTTTAAACACATATTATTTCTTGTATCTTTGAAATCTTCTTCTCTAGATTTAATTAAAGAATTGATCTCTAATATTTTAATTGAATGAGCTTTTAAGAGATTTAATTACTTCTTCTTAGGTTTTTCAGTGAATTCTAACTTAACTGTACTATTTCTTATTTTAAATTTAATACAATCCTCTTTAACTGAATATGGTGTTATTAGTGATGAGATTTATAAATGGAGTGCCTAAATATTACCTCATCATAATTTATCTGGGTGAAAGTAAAAATACTAGTGTGTATTTCTAAGGCATTGATCTATGATTATATTGCATCCTGTTTTTTCTATAATTTCAAGTTTAGTTTGTTGGCTGTAACTTAATTTTTTCATAGTTTTTTTAACGCAAATATCTTTTAGGAAACTAGATCAGATTTTTATACAGTTTTAAATCTGCACCATGTGTCAAAGAGTGCAGATTGCATCTATCAAACAAAATTCTATGTTATTTAGAGAATGTTTATATTTTACTAAATATTTTACGTGAAGTAATTTCTTGTAATAAATTTTGAGAAAAATTACAAAATCATACATCTTCATCTAATTCATTTTAATTTTATTATTACCTGGTTGCATCTCTTCTGAGTAAGAAGAAACTAGAATAAAAGTTGGGAAGGAAGAACTAGAAATAAGTTGGGATTCTAGTATTTTTATTTTTTTAGAGTTTTGTTGAAGTTGGGTTTTTAATTCTTTTACTTCATTTTTTAGCATCTTAATTTCTTTATATAATTCTTTAGTATATTCATCCATATCGACCTTTTTAGGTTGATTTTTATTTAAAATGGTAGTTAAATCATAAGTATTAGACTGAATTTTAGGAGTAATATTTTTTACGGCATCTTCGTCTTCAAAACTTTTTATTAGTTTTTTAAGAAGTTTAGCTCTAATTTCTTGATCTTCAATTCCATTAACTACTGTTAATAAATTACTTTGATCTTTATAGATAACATATTTAAAAGAAAATTTGATGAAGCTGGAAGAACTGTAGTAGTTCCTAATTCATCAAATTTTGGATTTCCAACTTTTTCACTTTCATTAGTCTCAGATTCCGAGGAATCCGAATCAATATAGAGTTCGTATATTTTATTTAAAACATTTTCTTCCAAATTTAATTCATGTAATTTTTTATTAAATTCTTTGATTGGTATGAACTAGTTAAACAATCTGATAAAAGTTTAAAAGACCATTGAACTAGTTATATATATATATATATATTAATCTCTAAAAAAATCTATTTACTCCCAAAAATAATAAAATCCAATTGTCTTAACTAAAACTATCGTATGTCTATATCTATTTAGAATCTAGCATAGCATCTTATGTTAGAAACCATTGCATTCATGCGACTAAAAATAAAGTGCGGAGGTACAAAACCATAAAAAATTACTTCCTTTTTTTTTTTTCTTTTATTCATTAAAACACCATTTTAGCAAATTATATGTGAAATGACCCGAAAAATTATTTTCAAAAATTTTTCATTTAAAATTCTTTGAAGTTTTAAGTCCTGACAAAATTTGTGTAAACCTTCCTTTGAATATACTGAATTAACTGTCCCCATATGTTAAGTTTATATAAGGAATAGGTTGTCCAAATGTTGTTTAATATTGTTTCTAACTTTTTCTCCTAAAGAAGATAGGTATCCAGCTAAAAACCTTTCTTCCAAAAAGGCTTTTGATTAGAGTCCTCACCTTAACATTAATGCGAGTAGAAAAGTTGTTTTATAAAGGTTTTGATAAGATGCACGCTAAATTTCTACATTTAAAGATTACTTAATAATTCTTAAGCATTTTTATCTTTTATGTGAGAGGAATCACCATAAAATGTAATGAGGATAGTGAGAATTAGAGATGACACAGCATCCCTGAATGTACTTCACCAATTTCATCAAATATAGGGTTTTTCGTCCCCTCACATTTCTCATCATTTACTTGAATTGAATTTAATATTTCTTCATGTTGTTGTTCAGTGAGATGGTAATCCCACCATCCTTTAAGTTGTCCGGTAAATCCAGCTATTAAAATTTCTGCTATAGCTTTATCAGAAATATTTGATTGGGTTTTATAAGCATTTGCCGCCATAGTCATTTGTTGCAAAATACTTAATATATTATATTCACTTAAATTATCTATGTTCCATTCATAGATTGTGGAAGCATTATATTTAAATTGAGATATAGTATTAGGTTTATCAATTATACCTAGGTCTGGTGCCCTACTTACTAGTTCTCTATGATGATTGATAGGATTGATTTCAAATTGTTTAATATTTTCTGAGTCAGGTTCACTAACATCAGAACTAGAATTTTCTT